TCTTCACATGTTCTACTTTGACTACGTTTTATTTATTAATGTAATAATATTATTTTATGAAAAAAATATTGTTAAACTTGTCTTATTGTAAATTTTCATAATCTAATTTTTTTAATTTTTTTACTAATACAAAATCATTTATATTAATGGTCAAAGTTGTGTCTCGGCAAGTGTGAAATGTTGAGCGTTGTATTTATTTAAGAACGGAGGAAGTATGAATTAAAAGGTAACATTCATTCAAATTTTACATATGACAGCTACAAGCTACAAAAAAAATGTACAAGAGTCATGGACAGGTGGACCCATAATCATCATGTATAATGATCCGGGCATGGGAGTCACTAGAAATCTCAAGAAATTTTATCGGAATTCACTGTGGCGTTGTCCTCGCTAGATGGTCATCCTCTTCGAGACATATGGTCGCCAAGTTGAATGGAGTTATCTCTTTCTCATCACATTTGTTCAAGCACATGTGAAAACGTGGTTGAGGCCTGAAACTCTGCAAGTGCCCTGCCGCTGGCTGCCCGGCTGCCTGGCTGCCCTGCCGCCTGGTTGCCCTGCCGCCTGGCCGCCAGCCGCCTAGCCGCCTGCAACCACGACCTTAGTCTTGTCAGAATCGTAAAGGAGCTTTCCCTGTAAACAATGAGCAGTTCAAGATGCTCCCCCAACCTTGAAGCAAACCCGCAAAGACAAAAAAAAAACAAAAAAAAACAAAATAAAAAGAGGATGGGGTTCCACCTTGCCGCCTGGAGGTAGAAGAGCACCAGGGCGACCGCCGGACAACTGGGGAGTAGAGACTCTAGCCGGGGCATCCAGTCCAGGACTCCGACCTTTGAGCCACCACCGCCCGGTGGCTGCCGGGCTGGAAGTGACATCCACAACCTTGGAAGCCGCACCGCCGGCCGGGGCGCCAACCTGCTTGCCTTCGCCCAACTAGGACGCCATGGAATCACAATCCTATTCAACAAGGGCTGCTGGCCTAAGGGGCCTAGAGGATTCCTTTGCAAACTTGCAACCGGTGAACTGTGAACTGTCCGTCCAGAAAGGTGTGGCCTTAGAACCAACAACTTGCGGATGATTTCAACTTGCAAAGTGCGCTCAATCCAGAAGACTTGTCGATATGCGAAGGACCTCATCCGACCCGCAGCGAACCTGGAAAGTTGTGCAGCAGCCTGGGGGTGCCAAACGACACCATATTGCTCGAGAATCAATCAGATCCCAATTGGCTGCCAACCTGCTTGTATCTCACCTAGAGCCAGTACAGCCAGCCACCAACACACGCCCGTCTGGTCCAAGAGGAATTTGCCTTTGGCAGCACACCAAAGCTCGTTTGCCCACCTGAGAATCATTACACCGCAGAGTAAAGCATTCAGATTTATCTTCAGGTTAGGAGATGTGTTGGATGACACCTTGCTGCTCAAGTGTAGCCGCTAGCTCGGGGCTGCAGGTCGTTCCCAATCGCTCAACATGGAAGTCGGGGCAACAGAGGAGCCACACTGGTGGCCGACTGGATGAAGACTTGGAGATACCTCAAGAATTTCACATGTTGGTTGCCCGATCTAGGGAGGCGAGCACCAATTTGTGGAGGCTTCGGACCAGTGATGACCGCAGGGAAGCTACCGCCTTAGGAGCTCATCTGCCAGCCTCGAGAGTTGATGCCGACCTGGGAGGGTGCCACTGGATTTGAAAGCCGTTTCCGCCCAGATTCGTCACCGTCGCCGCCGGGGGTTCGCCCTGAACTTCGTGAAGGGCTGCCGACCTGGGAAGGTGCAGGGCTACTTCGTGCTCGAATTCATCCGCAGGCCGGGAGGTGCGCCCGCCAGCCTTGAAGAAGAGGTATCCACTTGCTGAATCCGCCCACCAGCTTGAGATCGAACTCTGCCACGTGATTTGCGATGGTACTGTAGCCGCTTACTCGAGAAGGAGATGCGCCCGATCTGGAGGTCGTCGGCCAACCGCCAACCGCGAGCGTCTGACAGGCCTGAGGGCGGTCGGTCAAACCCAGACATGACTGCTCCGCTTGGTACCCTGCGGCGCTAGGGTTACGGGAGGAAGACGCAGGCAGTTTCAGCAAAGGAAAGAAAAAAAGAAGGAAAGAAAAGAAAAGGAAAGAGAAGAAAAGGAGGGGAAAATAAAATAAAGATCGAAAATAATTTATAAAATAATAATAATGAATTTTAGGAATTTTTGGAAGCTGACATGGATTCTGAAGTCTGGGAGAAAGCTGACTGTTGGAATGCTAGGATGCCGAAGAAATTAATCTGAAAAGCTGAGAGCCTTATTTAATTTGGAAATTTCCATAAACTCTGGGATTGACATAATCCGCAATTATGGCTCCTTGATATGTGAATATTTTTTAATGGGCAGCTAACTTGGACTACTCCCTCTTAGCCGAGTCTACTACTCGACTAAGGGAGTGGGGGACTCTTGATGGGGTTATAGGACTAGGCCCAGATCATAATCAGTCCAGGCCCCAAACTTGAACCAGCAGGTCCAAGCCCGACGATCTAGAGCTCGAGTCGGCCCAATCGATCAGACCCATCAAGGAGCGGAAGCCCAAGATAGTCTGCCTCCAGCCCAGCTAGGAGCCTGCCTTGCAGCCTGGCCAGCAACCTGCCTACAGCCCAGCAGGGAGCCTGCCATCCAGCCCAGTGAGGAGCCTGCCTTCCAGCCCGGCCAGGAGCCTGTCCTCCAGCCCAGTGGGGAGCCTGCCCTCCAGCCCAGTGGGGAGCCTGCGTTCCAGCCTAGCCAAGAGTCTGCCGACCAGCCTAGCTGGGAGCCTGCCTTCTAGCCTAGCTAGGAGCCTACGGTCCAGCCCAGGTGGGAGCCTGCCTTCCAGCCCGGCCAGCAGCCTGCCTCCAGCCCAACGGGGAGCATGCCTTCCAGCCTAGCCAGGAGTCTGCCTCCAGCCCGGTCAAAAGCCTTCCTTCAACCTAGCGGGGAGCACCGTCCAGTCCAGCAGGAGGGAGCTCAAGCGTCCAGCCTGCCAGCCAGGCCGACCTGCCAGCCAGGAACAATAGCGGCCAAAGTAATTAATGTGTGACTTAATTATGTATTTAATTCCGTATTAATGTTGTAATTAATTAGCCATTAGTATCTTTGGCAGTTACCGTTTGTAATCGCCTATAAAAGCCAAGTTCGAGTCAAATAATAGATATGCTATTTCTGGCTACCAAATCTCCTTTGTAACTTTCCTTATTAATATTACTTTCTTGATTTCCGTTTGAATGTCGTATGTAGCTTTCCTAAAAGTATACGAACGTCATATTTTGGACCAACAAATACGTATGTACGATAGTGTATGTTTTAGTCAAAGAAACATTAGAAAAAAAAGGATGACACCTCATCCCTGAGGGCCTCCCAACCCCGACCAGACGGTACGTTGGGAGGATGTAAATTGGACTATAATCTTAATCCGACACATAGAGAGTGGGGCTCTGTCCCCGGTAATTGCAGAGGCCCTATACATTTTTAACATAGTAACCCCTAATCGCAGTTGTCGGGATTCAAATCCGAGACCTAACATTTGTGGCACTCGCTTGCACTCCTCTTAAGGAACATGAGGACAAATCCGCGTTTGTGTGTACTGGAGGTTTCGGGGTGAAAGTGGACTAAGAAAAGTAGTGCACAGTGCACTCTTGCATCGCTTGGTAAACGTTGCTTGACTTGCGACCGAGTCTTCTCTACTTGAGAGATTTTTTTTTTACCAGACTTCAGACATAAGAATGTCTGATCAAATAGTTTTTATGCAATATTCGTATTGTGTTGTGCACTTGTGCATCGCGTTCAATATGGGATGAAATAAATTAACGGTGGCCTAATAATTGTTTAACTGTTATTAAAACTATTAAGAAATGAAACATTAATAAATTATAAATTAAATTTTAAAACTATTATTAAATTCCTCTCATTTTAAATTTTGAAAATCTAAATGTTTAATTGTTTAACTAATAAGGAATGAAAGATATTAATGTTTAAACTTGTACATTGGTAAAAGTGAAAAGTGAACACATTGCAATAACAAAAGAACGGAGGAAGTATAGACGCATTCCCAACTGCTAATTTATTTAGGTGACAACTCCGATACCCATTTAAAAAATGGGGTACCGTACCTACCACTCACTTGATTGATTCAAATCATTACATTATTTTTAATTTAGATTCAAATAATTCAACTACATCATTTTGATTGGTCCATGTGGACAAAGGTATGACCTTAAGGTACCATAGAATCTACCATTCATTTAAATCAAACTTAATAATTATGCAATAACAATTGAACGAGTCCTAAACACGATTTAACTCAATTATTCAAGAATGGGTTTCTACTCTAAGGTGATGTTCAAACACCTTGTCAAGTCAACTCTTCTTTTATCATTACATGATTATTATTTCTTAACTAATCCGTAATCACTAATTAAAATAGGGAAAAAATCCCGAAATAGGACTAAAACAGTTTCAAAATTCAAAAATAGGACTGTCATGTTTAGAAAATACTGACATGTTTGAATTCTGGTACTGCCATAACATGACAGTAATTAGTCCTATTTTGGGAATAAAAATATGACAGTCCTATTTTGGAATTTTCAAACTGTTTTAGTCGTATTTTAACCTTTTAGTTAATATCTCATTAAAAAAAATACAGATCACTATTAAAGGATCATGAATGGCTAGCTAGTATTCACGTAGAATCAGACTTGGGGTACACACTTTTTGTACACACTCTTACATACTCATGTATGTGAGGCGTTTTTTTGTCTGTCCCAGACAAAAAAAATACATCTTCACATACATCAGTGTGTAAGAGTGTATACCAATAATGTGTACCGATAGATTCCGGAGAAAAACAATTCCCGCATACTAAAAATGGGTAGCAGAGCAGATGACTTAGGAGTAATGTGTATGCATGGGCAAAGCCAAGAGCTTTAAATAAATACTCTAATTAAGTTCCTAGTTTGACGTACTTCACAGGTTTTTAGACAAAATACTCCAAAATGAATGTAGGAACTCAATTGCAAGACTGAGGGAGTATATAATATATATTGATGAACTATTTTCTGCATTCATCAAAGTTTTACCAAACTTTTCCTTGATGATAAGCCTATACATATTGCGAACAGCGAATCCAGTTAACGATGACGATGACGGCCAATACATTAGAGTGACGAAGAAAAGTAAAAGGTGCAGAACAAGCAATGGACAGGTCATGGAAAAAGATGCACATAACCAGTTGCTAATGCAATTCCTAAGATAATAAAAGGGGGGAGGATTATAAATGACCCGATCTTTGCAAAGAATGCCGAGTCATTTCTTCTAGATACCTCATCCAGGTAAGCCTGTCTTCTCATGTTTCTCTTCTGTGAAATGGTTAAAAACTTGGGAGTAAAACTTTTCAAATTCTTGCCCAACGGAATGGTAAAATCATCATCTCTGTCTCCAACTAATTTAGTCAGCTGGTCACGAATACTTGACTGATTAATTGAGCCATCATCACTCACATTGCCTAGTAAATGATGAAAAATAGGTTAATGATTATTAAGGTTAATGCTGGCTGTGTATAATAAAGAGTTAATATCAAGAGTAAACTGACTGTTAACATCTGGGCTACTTGAAGTGAGCTTTTCCAAGAGATCCAGTTGTGCCTGAGCAGAAGTTGGCCCTATACACAAAAACAATTATTTATTTCAATGATCAAATATATAATCAACTTTTCTTTTGTTCTTTCTAAAGGCTAAAGCGGCATCCAGTAGTCATAAATGTCATTCCACAAAGTCTTGACTGCCTGGTGGAGTCTGGAAAAATGCCTCATCATCTTCCAAAATAATCTCTTTTAATAACATTATTTATTGACCAACAATAAAAACCCACTTTTATAGGTTATTTTTTTTAACCTAATTTTATTGGTAAGAAATAAAAAACAAAAACCACCACAACGTTAACCCAAGCTTGGATTTATATTTGTACTTGAGACATGTTCTCTTCAACCTATTTCAGAACATAGATTAGCCTAAACCAAGATCACATAATAAAAAACTATACTTGATATCAATCTAGAGTCTAGACTAGACCATACAAAACATGCTTTGAATTTACTACAGTCAAAATTCAGTCTAAGAGAACATCAACTTTCTTTACATAATAATACTCCTGATTATGTAAATGACAAACAAATATCACTAACTTTCTTTAAATGTCAGTTAACAAACTAGTAAAAAGTATTATAAGGATAGGGCTGAGAGTTGAGACATAGCTTGAGAGTTGAGACAATAATAACAAGATTCCAAGACTCAGAAAAGACTGCACAAAGATAGCCCATGGTCATTGAAAGCAACAAGAATGTGATTTTTGAACAAAACCCAGTTCTCCAAATGAACGAACACACTTTTTTTATGAAACCCTATGAAAGAGAGTGAAGTACCAGAGCAATCAGGGGGGTCCTTCTCTGTGACTCCACCCTCTGTCCCTTCAGGTGAAGCGGCTGTTCTGCCAGACGATGAGAACCAAGGCTGAGAACAACGCAGCCTACTGACCTCACACTTGCGATTCGGAATCAAGAAAGAGGGGTTTCTTGTTGGAAGTGAGAATGGGCTGAAAATTGATGCCATGGTACGATTAGTATCCGTCCTCGACTGAGCTTACCGTTTCTGTAAATTTCCATGGTCGAGATTTTTCGAGGAATCTGGGTCTAATTTCGGTCTACTCAACACCCAAGCCATCAATTAACCGATAGCATAATACTGTAGAAGCATAATTATCTGTGAAATAATAGAAAAGGTTACTCTCTGAGGAATCCTGACAGATATATTTATATTAGAGAGAGTTTAATGTAAAGTACAATACTGAGTCTCTAATAATTCTATTACACCCCCTCAAACTGTGCGGGAGATACAACGCGCAGGTTGTCTTTCAAAAAATGAAAACGTTGACTAGAGAGACTTTTAGTAAAAATATCTGCCAGCTGTAGATGAGTAGGAACATGTTGAACAATCAGATCTCCATGAGCAACCCGTTCGCGAACAAAATGATAATCAATCTGAATATGTTTACTGCGAGCATGCTGAACTGGATTTGCAGTCAAGTAAGAAGCAGATATATTATCACATAATAAATGTGATAATATATACGGAGATAGGCCATCCAAGTTCGAACAGGACTGAGCGGATATGTAGTGTGTCTTGTACTGTGTAAGCAATGACACGATATTCCGCTTCTGTGGAGGACTTGGACACAGTGAGCTGCTTCTTAGCCTTCCAGGAAACCAAATTAGGACCCAAAAATACAGCAAAACCTGTGGTAGACCGAGAACTATCAGGACAAACTGCCCAATCTGCATCGGAGTAAGCAACTACACAGGTTGGCCGATTAGACTGCTCAAGCCAAAGTCCATGATCTCGTGTTCCCTGCAAGTATCTGAAAATTCTCTTGACTGCAAAAAGATGAGCGGTACGAGGAACATGCATGAACTGAGACACTAAGTGTACTGCATAAGTAATATCTGGCCGTGTCAAAGTTAAATATTGTAATGCACCAACCATGCTGCGATACTCAGTAGAATCAGATAATAACTCACCATGTGAAATAATGGAAAAGGTTACTCCCTGAGGAGCCCTGACAGATATATTTATATTAGAGAGAGTTTAATGTAAAGTACAATACTGAGCCTCTAATAATTCTATTATTATCAACTTTAGAAAAACTTCTCTTTTTGGATGTCGCACTAACTTTATCACTTTCCTTTTTAAATAAAGAATTTGTGGTTCCAGTTCATTCTCTCTTCTGCACAAACCTCAATCACACAGTTTTTACTTCATTATTTCTCGTGACGGTCAAACTTAGGAAGTTATTAGGGACGGAAGGAGTATAAGAAAAGAAACAGCTCTTTAAAAGGCAATTATATCCTTCGTTAATCTTACATATCAGTCTATCCACGTTTCTCTCCTCTCATTCCTTGCTGCCAGTATCAAGCCTGCGTCTATCCGCTTTTCATCAACTGAAAAGGCCTGCGTCTATCCACGTTTCTTCTTCGCACACCACACCAATTTCTCTCTTCTCAACTCAAAAGTCCCCACTCAGCCAAAAAGCTATTTCCTCCTTATTTCAGGCTACTTCTTCTGTCAATCCACGTATCTTTTTTTCAAAAAAAAAAAACTCCATCTACTATCAGCTCTTCTCCTGCCGACAAGTAGAGACCAGCCTTTTCTTCTCAGAATTTCCAAAAATCCTGAACAAATTGGGCTGAAATTGATATATATATATATATATATATATATATATATATATATATATATATATATAGGGTAAAGATCACATGAGAATACCATTTTAGGAGAGAAATGAGAATGATTCTGGAGTGTTGGATTTGAGCATTGTGCATCATGTAAAACAGAAATGTGGATATAAAAAATTGGAAAATGTGCATTTCATCTGTGCAAAATTTTAAACGTAAATGTGCACATTAGAATTTTGCATTACTTTAACTATAAATGTGCAGTTTTGTGAAGGATAAAGTGCATCGTTTTGAAGTATTCTCAATTCTCACGTTATGGAATGTTCTCGTCGGAACCGGTCCCAATATATATATATATATATATATATATATATACATATATATATATATATATACATATATATATATATATATACATATATATATATATATATACATATATATATATATATATATATATATATATATATACGCTACACCTTGCCATGTACAATACGTCTCTCATCTACTCGGCTCTCCATCCACGATATTGCCTCTCTAATGATACAGGTATGTCGCATCTTCTGCTCATTCCATATCTTTGTGCGCTTTTTGAATATATAAGCAACTATGGATATTTATCAAACATCAACCATCTTAGTATTGCGACACACTTTTATTGTCTGATTCATTTTTTCGCATTCAGTATTTGTTGGTGTTTTATTTCTCTGTTTTTGAATGACTTTTAGGTGGTCCAAAGCATATAAGGTAAATTAAAACACATAAGGTGTTCGATGAAATGTTTATATGTGAAAAGCATATTAGTGTTTATAGTTCACTTTATCAGTTTTAGTTTATTTAGTTTAGATGATATGCAAGTTGGTTAAATAACTGGATATGATTATACTAAACTAGAGATTTAGCTTTTTTTAGTTTAGTTATACACGAGTGACTTACTAATTACTACGTACTATGTTTTTGAATTCAACATTTTTTGGATATGAGATATGACCTTTTTGTACGTGCTCACGATTTTCACATTCGTTGTTCTAAATCAGTTTTTTGAGCTAAATTACAACAACAATAATAGACTTTAAGAGTAGGAATAAACCTTAATTTAAGTGGTTTGGAGTAGTTTATAGCAGAAATAGAATATTGCTTTTGTAATACAGTTTAGTATTGGAGTTTTACATGCTTGTGCTTACTATATAGTGGTAAGATTATATTTACTAAATCAACTAAAAGTATAATTTTTTAACTTGCAATTGATTATGATTTTTTTCATAATCATTCCTTTCTAAAAGGTCAAAGAACCAATTAGAGCTACAAACATGTTTAAAATCTGTTATATTCAAATTGTGTTTACCTTTTTTTGCATACAAAATTTACTTGGTTCTTAAATTGGAATAAGCAACAAATAAACACTCCAAGTATGATGGGCATTAACATTGCCTCCAAGATGATTAATAGCTCAAATTGCCTTCTGCAGTCTGAAATGGCAAATTAAATCGGCACATTCAATCTTCCTCGCTGTGTAAAGGTAACGCTCCATCCAGTTTCCTCCTATACGATTATGATGTTTTAGCCGATCTTTGGCTTTAGAATCTTGAGTGCTTATACATTTACAATGTAATCTTAAGAAAGAAATCACAAATTTATGTTCCATATTTTCTTTCATTTTATCTAATTTCAATTTGAATTATAATTACAATTCACTTTTCCTTTCCTTGAGATTGCACTGTTTTAACTTTGTGGAATTGAAGGAAAAAAATATGTCCAACCCTATTCAAATTCTTAGTAGCCATTCTCATACTTAAAGTGCATTTAGAAATGCTTCACAAATCTGAACAAAGGCCTCCTGTTAGCTTCATTTTTTATGGAAATAACAGAGTATGTTTTGTTTTGTTTTGTAGAAATGAACAAAGATTCCATATACCTATTTTCTTCTTCAAAATATACTAAGCTTCCGCATGACTACTTTCCATCAATTTAACAAATTAACTAACCAAGAGTTATAGTGGTTTCTTGGGGTTCTTTAATCAAAACTTAAAATTTAGAATATAGTAAATGAAAGGAAAAAAACTGCAGCTTTTCCTTTATATATATGTTCTGAATTCATAACTGGAAAAAGAAAAAAAGATCAATGAGAAATAAGTGCATTTTCTCAGCTTACTAGCATTTATGTGCTCAAGAATCTTACCCCAAGTAAACAATAAATGAGTTGATATCAAAGAAGCATTGAAAATCTCTATTACTGTTCTTTAAAATCTCATAGCCCAAGAATGGCTGAAACTATCTTTAATTTCTACAGTGTGCACGTTTTCTTAGTATGTTTGTAGCCTTGAATGCAATGATAGCAAATATAGCTAAAAACTTAATCACAAAACAATATAAGATTGAATTATCACAAGGGTTTTTGTTCTTTATTATGCTTTGTTGTTGTCTTTCTCTGCTTTAAGATCTATGATGGTTTAGGATTGTGGTGCTGCATACTCCTAATAGAGTTCATAGGACATATAGACTTCAATTTAGCAACTTTTTTACTGTCAAATTAATCTTTTCTTAGTATGATTGGTTACTGCCTTTTTTGTTTGAACTGATTCTTTAGTTTATTGTTTTACTAAAATTCTTTTTTCATCTGTAGCCTAGAAATTAAATGAATAAGTATAAGGATTGGGAAACATTCCTTTGAAGAAGTGCCTGAACTTGCTGAACTATACATTCTATCATACAGAATAAGGTGGTTGAAACAAAAAAGTAGGAGTTAACAAACTCAAGTGAGGGGATTGAGGTCAACAGTTAAAACTACAAAGTGGCTCAATAAAAAAGGTTGTAATGCATTATACCATGGCATCCTTAGCCTTTTGAGACCGTTGTGCAACTATTTCATATGGAAGTTTAGGGTAGGATTTAGTCTTATCTCATTTTCAAAAGCTCTCTTATCATATTGCAGTGTTGGTTGTTAGTTCATTTATGCTCACATATGATCAACCTCCCTGTATTATGTATCAGACTATGATCAAGCTTCCATTACTATTTCTTTATTCCAGGATCATATGTTAGTCTTTTTAATAAACATTCAGTGTATTCTTATTCCTTAAGTAAGCATTTGGTCTATATCCAATTATGGAAGCTATTGAAACCAACAATGGATGTATAATTCATATTTATAAAACTCATGTAATAAAGTTTCATATCTAATGATGAGGGCAAATGAAAGAAACTTATTAGTGGTTCTTTCATCTCATGACTAAAATCTATATCCTAGGCTGCCACAATAGTGTTCTTATAAGCTTTTGTCAAACAATTGATCTGATTAGTTAAAATCTGTTATTCAGTATAAAAAGTGATTTCTCAATTACTATACTGATTTAAGAATGAATATGAACATAATCTGAACTATAAAGCATATTGATTGTCATATATGTGTATGGAATTCCCATTTGGTTATTCTTGAATTCCCAGTTGATTATTTTTCAAACGGAATAGTATTCTTAGCAATTAACATTCAAAGTTTTCTTAACAAATTAGTCACAAGTAAAGAAAATGTTTAAAG